GCAAGGCTAATAGTGATGAATATTCTGTAAAATCACTTCAATCTGCAATTAATGCACTTAATCAGTATTTTAATGGTGAGACAAGCAAAATTAAACTAATTGACTTAAATGATAAAAAGACGCATCCTGATCTTTGGCATACGTTAAATGGAAAAATTAAAACGTTGTCTGCAAGTGGGTATGGAGAAACTAATGGATCTGATGCTTTAACTATCAATAAAGTTCAAAGAATTTTGTCGCATCATCAAACATCAAAGCTTAATCCCAAGGGATTATTAAACAGAGTTTTTTTTTTTAATGCACTTTGTCTTGGTTTGCGTGGTGGAGAGCATTTTTTACTAGAGCGTGTATCTTTTAACAAAAATATGAATTCTGCAATTATGAAATTAAGCTTTTTCAGTCAAAAACTAATAAAAGAAGTCTTGAAAGCCCTGGAGTTGCTAAAACATTTTCTATTCCACCTATCTTTGATTTTGTTGAATCATATGATAAATATTTAGCCAAATGTCCTCCTGATGCTGATCTTCAATTCTATCTACATCCTATAAAAGGAATTTATGGTAAGCAAGTAATCATGTTTAATTACCAGTATCTACCAATTTTTTTATCTAAAAAAGTTAATTTTTATTTAGATTTTAAAACTGTCAATATTTGGTATGAAAAAATGCATCTTGGAGAGAATTTTATGAAATCATTTAAGTGATTAGTAGAGTCATGTGATATTGATATTTCTGGTCGTAAAATATCAAACCAAACTAGGCGTAAAACTTTAATCCAACTTTTAAAATCTCTTGGTTTATCTGATTATGAAACAATGTCAATTTCACACCACAAATCACAAAAAGGGTTAGTATCTTATAAATGTCCAATTAAACATGTGCAAGAACTTGGATATCAGGCTTTGAACAAGGCAATTAGTTATCATAATGAAGAAGTAAATGGTAATTTTTTTTAAATTAATTAATTAATTATTTATCGATATCGATATTTATTTATTTATTTATTTATTTTAGAGTCACTTGT